TAGTTATTAATTTAAACTGCCAAAATATTAGGTCAACATTACGAACCATGTTAGATAAATTCAAAGATCAGTATAATACAATAAAAATAAAATCGCCCGAATATTTGTCTATATGATTTTAGTCGCGACTGTTCAATCAAAAGTGCTGCGAAAATAGGAGTTCATGAATAAATGATATGGAAGAAAGAAGAATTCAGCTCTTTGAGTCATCTTCATTCGAAAGAGGTAGAATTAAATAAAAAAAAGTATCTTTTAAGAAAGAATGTGTTGAACAATAAGAAACGAAATATTGTTTGCTTTGCTTAAAGTAATTAATTTTAAAAGATTTTTATTTTTTTATATAAATATTTGTTTAGTTAATATATCAAAAGCAACTTTTGAATTTATAAGTTAAACTTTTTTTATAGTTTATGACGGTCAAGTCTTACTCTGGGAATATAATCAGACGGTGATTGAAATTAGTGGCTTAACCTGTCACAGATTACAGACGTGTTTGTCGATCAATCAATTACATCATAAGATAGCCGTGCAACATTGTCACGCAAAACCAGGAACGGAAGTCGTGAAGAGTATTGGTATTGGATTTAGTAAGTATATAGGTGTGGCTAGAGATGGGCAAAATTTTTATTTATTCTTACATATTTCAACATATTCTTACAAATTATAATAAAACTAATACATCAAAATAAAAAAGACTTCCAAGTTCAATATATATATATATTGTATATATATTAATTAAGTTTAAATTTTTAGCAATTTATCTTATCGAGATTTTTAAAGTTTTTCCTTGAATATTATGTATAACTTGAATAGAAGATCCAATTGCGGCTTCATTATATATAATTTGATCATTAGTTTTAAAATTATTAATGTCTTCAGTCATTTGCATTGCATTATTTTGAACATTAATTTCAGTAATTCATCTTGAAAATTATTTTAGAAATATATACAGGATTACAAAATATGCATTTGGCTTGAACCTTTTGTTAGTTTTAACTGGTTGAAAAGCTTGACAAAGAAGGCCTAACAGATGGCCTGTAGAACCAACTGAAATTTACGAAACAAAAGTCGAATCTGCAAATTTGGTAATGGCCAATTTAATGTTCAAAGCGATCGCGAGCTACCCCCATAAATACCGGGGGCGAGGTGGCGCCCAAGGGGCGCCCCCTTTGCATACCAAGCATAGCAACCTGGAACTACCAACCATAGCAACACGATGCCGTGTATCCTACGAAGCCGGGTGGGCGAGTTAGCCCACCCGGTGGCTTAAGCCAGCCCTCTGATTCCAAGAGAACTGCCGAAGCTTGAGTGTAATGCGGGGATAAGTAACTCCTGGTTAGGGATAGAATCCGTTGATCAGTCTTTTTATTTAAAACAACCAATTTTGTATATATATATTTTTTTTATAGTTTATTTGTAATCATTATAGAGATAATGACGTAGTTTATTTGTAATCTATGACTCTTAAATTACTTAATAATATCGATACATAATAATTTATTAAATATGTAAGGGTTAAATTTTAGCTATCGTTTACATAATTATTACGTTGCCCATCCCTAGTTGTGGCACTTAGTGATTTGCTACATATAGCAAAAAAAATTTAGAATGTTCTAGATCAAATCATGAAAGTATCCCTTTCTCAAATTTTTGATTATGAAACTGTCTTTCACATTCTAACAAAAACGTTTCTTGCACAATGTTGCATATAAATTTTTTATAAATGCTACGTGTATTATGTGTATCACGTATGCTATACACACTATCAAGCGCCCGATTATCATGCTTTAAAGATAAATACTTTTGAATTATTGGAATTAGTTCCGAGAATATTTTTAAACTTGACATATGAAAATTTTATATTTTAACAGGTAAACCGATATAACCACAAGCCTGATTTATTCAAATCAAGTAAAGCAGAAAATTTATGATTTAATTGATTCAAATAATAACAATAATATAATTAGAATAGCAAACAAAAACAGGTAAAAACATGAATAATTTCATGTATGAATTGCAGGATTAAAGGTTACAATAATAATAGAGAAATTTGACATTACATTAATTTAGAACAATTTTTTGATCACAAACATCTAATTTGCATTTTTTTTTTTTATTATGCATCAATAAACAAAAAGTCTCATAGAGTACAAATATAGAGATCTCAAGATGAAGTTACAAGGTTATGTCAACCAATCAGATAAAAGAGATACACCACTTCAGAGTTATAAAATACATAGTTTGCATTTTATTTCTAGTACTTTGTGCTCTGTTCCTAGTATATTTACCAGTCAAAAATTAACAGATAGCTTATTTCTTCTACTAAAAATCTAAGTCTATTAGGTGCTTAAAAAATAAATATCTTTAAATATTAGGTTATTATTAGCAAAACATCAGAGTACATAATAGTTATTCTACATTTATATTTTTAATCTGTTTATGTTCTTTATTGTTATAGTTTATCTAAAAAATAAAAAACAACATAGTATTACTAATAAAAATAAGCAAATTGTAATTTTTTTAAAAATTTTATATAGGTTTTATGTGAAACTAAAAATTTATAGTTTGGATCTGTGTAATTGTAAAATTATTTTAAAAAACATATTTCATTTAGAATTAAGAATTAAAAATTATATTTTACAAATTTATAATATATGTAATTTTATATAAGTTTTAGTAATATATTAATTTCACTAAGGCCATTAGTTATTGGTGGCTACTGCTTTTATTGTAAATTCAATTATAATTATATAACTTGTACAAGATTACTCTTATACTACACTAGCAGATAGTGCACAAGTTCTTGTACACTGAACCTAACTCTGCTCTTCCTGTCTGTACATCCATCAAGCTGTTACACATTTTAGAATATGTCATCTAACTATAAGGCTTCAAGAAGGCCTAGTTTTAGTAATATATAAATTTCATATATGTATATATAGTACTAGCATCATAAAAAATTTAATTGTCATTATTTAAACTTCAATAAATTTTGCATAATCAAATTAATGTATATATAATAAAAGTAATTATATTGAATCATATAATAAAGTAATTATAATTTTTACAAATTACATATAATTTTGATTTTTAAAATTTATATAAACCCATATAAAATTATTTAAATTATATAAAATAATAGTAATTTTTTTAGACTTAATTTTACTTAATAGGTAATTATAATTTTTTTAATAAAAATTTAAGTAATTTTATTTAAATTTTTGATTATTGCTATTGGTTAATTAAATAGCAAATTTTTATATATTTTTTACAAGGTTTAATTGTAATAATTACATTAAGCATATTTTTTCATCTAATTTAATTTTTTGTTTTTTTTTAAATTTTTTTTTTTTATTTTTTTGTTTTTTTTTATAATATTAATAGTAAAGACAAATAATTTTAGTGTTTATATAAATAATCTTCTAGTAGATTATAGATACAACACCTAGTATAAAAACTTAAAATAAGCTATATATATAGCTAGTTGTACTCTTATAGCTATAAAAAATAATTATAATACTAAATATAAAAATAGTTTTTTTTTAAAAATATTAAAGATATAGTTATAACTTTAACTTTATTAAAATTTAATTAAATTTTTATACAAAAAAGCTTGCTTTTAAATTACATATTAAAAATAAAAACTTAAACATATAATCTGTAACTTAAAACTACAAAAATGGCCAAGGTTTATCTAGATTTAAATTTGGATAATAATATAAGAAAAAAAGATATGATATTTAATTTATTAAATAGTTCAAAGGTCAATTTTAGTAATAATTTGTAGTATTAAAATAGAAGTTAAAGATAGATTATAAAAAGAACTATAAGATAAGTTAGTAGAAGATATAGTTTAAAATTGTGCAAATATAAAATACAAAATGGAATTCATATTTGTTTATATATTTGTTGGTTTAAGTAATGAAAAAGTTTAATAGAAAGAGAAATAGTAATATAATAAAGAATAGAAGTATTGTAAATAGTTGAAATAAGGTTAATAAAAACTAAAGCAAATAGAGTAAAGATAAAAGAAAGTTTATATAACAACTTATGCAGTTTAAAACTGCTAAGTATAAGAATTTCTATATACAAATTAGTTATATAATTAGCAAATATATTAAAAGCTGTTGTATTTAAAATGCTGTTAAAAGAATTGAAAATTAAGTAATAAATTTTTTAAGTTAAAGAGCAGTTAGTTTAATGAAGTAAAGAACAGGTTAAAAATTTTTTGATTGTTATTAATATAAAGCCATGTAGCTTTCTAATTGATATTAGATGCAATAGTAAACTATTATTAAAAACAGTATTAAGATGTTTAAAGTATTATAATATGAGTTTGATATATAGTTTAAGTAGAGTATTAAATAGGAATTTTAATAAAAAATTAATCAATAAATAATATATAGGTAAGATTATAAAATTATTAATTAAAAATATCAAATAAGATAATATTTGATGATTACAAGCAAGTTAGTCACCAAGGTTATTAAATAAATCATTTTGATATTCAATAACTTTCTAAAAAGTAAGCTAAATATTATAGGAATTAATAAAGTTAATAAGAATTTGTTAGATAGAAAAATATAAAAAATATGAGTAAGAAAAAGAGTAGATGCTAATTGGTAAATATTATAATATTTAAAGATTATTAATTGTAAGTTAGTAAATATATAAAAGAAGCTATATTTGAAAGCAGTAATAATTACTAAGAGAATAACAAGAATTTCAGTTTTAAAAAAATATAGCCAAAGTTTAACATATGTCTAAATAAGTTAATAGTTGTAAAGTTGTCAATTTGAACCTAACTTATGTTTATAAAGCATTAAAAAGTATTAAGATTGATAATAAAACTATCAGTATAGAATGAAATAGATTTGGTTCTTTTATGGACACTCAATTTACCAACATCTTATTTCACCATTATTCAGTTTATTGACAAGTTTATTTTATAGACAATTGTTTTACCAACATTCAATTTACTGACAAGTTTAATTAGCCGACAAGTTTATTTTACTGACAATCAATTCACAGACAATTATTATACTGACAAGCTTATTTCACTAACAGCACATTTCACTGACAAATGTTTTACTGTCAGTAAACTTCACAGACAAGTATAATTGATTTATATATATTTCAATACTTAATGTATTTTGTGAAGTAAATATTCAGAGTATTATAAAATATTTAATTATAACTAGCTCAGATTATGCAAGAAAAAAATTCTTAGTAAAGAATAGAATTAGTTTTATTGAAAAAAAAGTAACACTTTAGCAAAGCCAGTTAGGATTATGTAACAAAAAAAAAATATAAAATCAGTAAAGCATGGAATGACTTTTATAGAAATAAAAGTAATGCGAAACCTAAACTGACTTATACTCTAATAAAGCCCGACTCAGATTATGTAAGAAAAAAAAAGTTAGAATTGGTAAAGAATAGAATTACATTTATAGAAAAAAAAAAGCACAAAACTGATCTGATTTATATAGAACAAAATACTTTAGCAAAGCCCAGCTCAGATTATATAAGAAAAAAAATTTTAGAATAAGTAAAGAATGGAATTACTTTTATAGAAAAAAAAAGTAATATGAAACCTGACCTAATTTATGCTTTAGCAAAGCCTAGCTCGTATTATGTAAGAAAAAAAAAAGATAGAATTAGTAAAGAATAGAATTACTTTTATAGAAAAAAAGAAGTACGAAACTGACCTGATTTATGTAGAACAAAATGCTTTAGCGAAGCCTAGCTCTGATTATATAAGAAAAAAAATTTTAGAATAAGTAAAGAATGGAATTACTTTTATAGAAAAAAAGTAGCATGAAATCTGATCTAATTTATATTTTAGTAAAGCCCAGCTCATATTATGTAAGAAAAAAAAGTTAGAATCAGTAAAGAATGAAATTACTTTTATAGAAAAAAAAGTAACACAAAACTGACCTGATTTATGTAAAGCAAAATACTTTAGCAAACCCAGCTCGAATTATATAAAAAAAAAAAAGTTAGAATCAGTAAAAAATGAAATTACTTTTATAAAAAAAAAAAGTAATGTGAAACCTGATCTAATTTATGCTTTAGTAAAGCCTAGCTTGTATTATGTAAGAAAAAAAAAAATAGAATCAGTAAAGAATAGAATTACTTTTATAGAAAAAAAAGAAGTGCGAAACTGATCTAATTTATGTAGAACAAAATGCTTTAGCAAAGCCCAGCTCAGATTATGTAAGAAAAAAAAAATTTTAGAATAAGTAAAGAATAG